TTACATTTAAATAAAGTAATCGATTTATATAAATACCAGAACTAAAGCACAGTATACAGAGAAACGTACATTTTCTTTTATTTCATTTATTTGTTCTCTTAATTCCGAATCTTATGTTAATTGACGCAACTTACAAATTCAGGAAACATTTCATATAAACTAGACATAAAATGCCCGATAGTTTACCCCACCCATAAATAAATCCACCTTGAGATATAAGTTCTAAAGCCTCAGTATAGTTACAACGGTTGCCCCGCCCTTCAAACCGAAACGCATTACTGCTTCACGGTAGAATTTTTCGGGGTGGTAGTACCTACCCGTGCGGACTCACAAGAGGTACTACCACCAGTCAAGTATATACAAAACGCGTAGATTATTCACGCACACGCGTCATAGTCATAGAGTGTATAGTCTAAACTGGCACATGCGTTATACAAGTTCATGTGCTTTCAAAGTTATATTTAATTATATGTATTATGTAATTAAATATAATTTATCCTTAAGAGCTCCTAGTTCTTGCAAGAAAGTGAGACCATTCAACTAGTACATCTGTAATGTTTCATTTTGCAAAAAATTCTCAAATTTTTTTCTAATGAAAATATAATACTGAACAATTAGAACGATTGCCTTTTCCGTAAATCACTCTCAGGCTTTGTGAGCCCTATAGCTCGAAAGTAGTTTAAGACTATTCATTGATCTTCGTAAATAATCAGCTACTAGGCCGAATTGAAATTCGAAATCGATTTTATTTGTCTGACGTTGGATGTTATAGACAATGATAGTTCAAGGCCATAGTTCAAAGTTCGAAATCCATCCATTCATCCACTTACTCAAATCAGTTGAGTTATCTGATTGCTTTAAACTTTCACACGTAATCTACATTATAAACACTATTTTGAGGTTTTTTCCACGATTTTCATTTTAAAAGTTCCCGGTGTTGCAGCGCTATTTATTGCAAGCGCTATCAGGGGATCACGGGACTATATTACACGTCAGTTACAGTGGAAATAACATGTTAAATATTAACAGAGTCCATAAAGTTCTGCCTGACTAAGTCAGAACTGAAACCTAGGATTTTCTGAATCACTACACTTATTACATTAATCGGCTTCGTCTTAACAGTTAGTGTTTTAATCTTTACGTAGTATATTTTGTTGCTTCAAATTGGCAAACAAAATCAGAGCGATCTGGTCTTAAATGACAATGGAACTTTTTTGGATGGAATTTCAAAATGTTTACCAATTTCCTTGACACATGACCTCGAAGTCCTAATTACATAAATTTTATAAAGGCTGTCCCATCTTTTAAATAAATTGCATGACGTAGAAATAAGAAGGACATAGGTATCTGCATCTGTGAGCACCCAATATTTCAATCTACCCGTAATTACTCTTTTTTTATCTATTTTATCATTAGACAGTGGTACTTGAACGTCTGCGGGGTATGCATTTACTAAGAAATTTTAGAAACATTTGTACTTGTACTGTTTGAAGGATTTGAAGTCTGGCATATTTGCACGACACTCAAAGCCGCAGATAAGCAGAGAATTGACGCTTTTGAGATATGGTGCTGGCGACGTATGCTACGAATACCATGGACGGCCCACCGCACCAACATCTCTATTCTCAGACAGATAAAAATAGAAAAGACTCAACGTCTATCCACAACCTGCCTACAAAAAATATTGCGGTATTTTGGTCATGTTGCACGCAGGGACACCAGCAATTTGGAACGCCTTGTGGTGACCGGTAAAATAGAGGGAAAATGGCCTAGGGGTAGAGGTCCCAAACGATGGTCGGACCAAATAGTAGAGGAACTGGGGATACCTGTCAGCGACGCACTCCACCAAGCTACAAAACGGGATCGATGGAGACAGCTGGTTGACGGAATCGAACGGAGTCACGATCCTCAGCAGTGAGGGACCGACCAAAGAGAGAGAGAGAGAGAGATTAATACAGCAGTGATTTAATACAATTCACCACAAAAGATAAAAGTGCGGTCGAATTTATCCATGAACTCAATGACAGTTTGAAACAGACGTCGATTTTTTTGCCCGGGGCCACGTCACCTACAACACCCAGAGTGTACCAGATATGTGAGAAACCCTTGCCGTAGTTGAACTCATCGAAAACAAAAAAGTGGATTGAAAGGCTCTCTAAATGACTGAACCCGGGAGTGGTAAGAAAGGCGACCCCGCTTAACACTGCAACCAAGTGGATGGCCTAAGAATGCCCGACCAAACAAGTCATCAGCCCGTCAGGCGTTACCAAATATTCCACACCGCGCGGTATTTGCCGCACCGGTTGTCCCGATCTGATTGCCAAAGGGGGGCCTCCTAAGTACTCCTAATCTTCTAACAGGGCTCGAGCTGGTCGTCGTGGCCTAAAGGATAAGACGTCCGGTGCATTCGTATGAAGCGATGCACCGGTGTTCGAATTCCGCAGGCGGGTACCAATTTTTCTAATGAAATACGTACTCAACAAATGTTAACGATTGACTTCCACGGTGAAGGAATAACATCGTGTAATAAAAATTAAACCCGCAAATTTATAATTTGCGTAATTACTGGTGGTAGGACCTCTTGGGAGTCCACACGGGTAGGTACCACCACACCGCCTATTTCCGCCGTAAAGCAGTAATGCGTTTCGGTTCGAAGGGTGGGGTAGCCGTTGTAACTATACTGAGACCTTAGAACTTATATCTCGAGGTGGGTGGCGCATTTACATTGTGGATGTCTATGGGCTCCAGTAACCACTTAACATCAGGTGGGCTGTGAGCTCGTCCACCCATCAAAGCAATAAAAAATAAAAAATAAATCCTCCTAACCTCCAAAATCAGATTTCGACTATATCAATTCTGTCCAGCCTAGTGTAGACAAGTCATATCACTATTTCTGTACCTATAGTTAGTTACCTTTCCTGATAATGGATAAGGTAAATCTCGAAACTAAAATCCATTTGGTAGTTCACTGAAAGCCGTGTATCGAACGTTAATTGGAGTAGCCTAATCATTCCGTAGAGAGACGACACATCTGAATATAACTCCAAAATACATATAGGTATATACTGCAGTGGTAGCAAGCGTGATTGGAGAAAATCAATAAATTGATGTTGAATGCTGCTTATTAATCTATTGACAAGGGAATAGATTATAATAAGCAACATTGAATAGACGACCGCACAAAGCCCACATATTATGATAATGCTTAGAATTCCTTAAGCAGATCCATTTGTAAGAGAATATAAAACAATGTAGGACCCAATTTCTTTTTCTACCTGATACAGTTCTACTGTGGACAATGATTTGAAATAAATTCTCAGTTTTCATTTTCAATACAAATATTCTTTGTGCAAGGACGTGTTATGCAATCGTCTTATGCATCTTGTCTAATTCCGTTGCAAAGCCGTCTCATGCGTTCCAGCTTCAAGTATGATACCTCGATCTCGTGTTTCATGGCGGATTGCGGCCTAGTTTGTTTGTATATATATGAGCTCAGGTAGTAATAGATAATACTAGGTAAGCCGTGAGGTCGTTGATTTGTCTAAGCAACATTTAAATAATTTAAACAAACTTAAGGAACGTCAAATAAATCACAAATAAGCAATTAAATTTAAATTTAAGTTTTTAAAAAATAATTTATAGAAATTCAGATAAATTCCATTGGTTCCATATTGGTTTTCATATTTCACGTGGAAAAAATTGCTGTGATTACACCTATGGGAAGGACTCCTAAGCTTTATCAATGTTTATTTGTTTACCTTTTTTTATTATTATTTTTTATTGCTTAGATAGGTGGACGAGCTGACAGCCCGCCTGGTGTTAAGTGGTTACTGGAGCTCATAGACATCTACGACGTAAATGCGCCACCCACCTTGAGATATGAGTTTTAAGGTCTCAAGTATAGTCACAACGGCCCCACCCTTCAAACCGAAACGCATTACTGCTCCACGGCAGGAATGGGCAGTGTTAAAAATTAAAATGGAGAGATATCGAGATTTACTTAAAAAGTTACTATGCCCACGTCTTCCTGCTTTAACCTACGAAGACATGTCTCGTTTATTATCTTCATCATATCTTTGGAACTCGAAGAAAAGGCTCTCGCATTACTTGAACGGAATGAAGGGAGATCCTATTCAACAGAACTAATGAGTTTAGCTATACACAATGACGTAAATCAATAAGATTTCAAGAACTCGACGTTATACTATACCGTTATAATAATACGTGTGTATATTGTTTAAGGGAAGCAAAGAAAATACCTGTTTTATTGTTTTGTTTTAGATTGAAAAATTAAAAATATATATTCATATTAAACTCTTTGTCGTTTAAATGCAAATCTTAAATATAGGTTTTCGTGAAAGTCGTGTATATCAAGTTTTCACGTACATGCTTAATACGTTTCGTTTCGAATGATTATTTCTTCTGATTCTGAATAGTATTCTTTTAAAAACAATTGAGACTGTCTACCCTAGTGATTTTTACGTGAATGTAAATTATTTTTCATAATTCTGCGATAATTAAATCACGATTACGAAATCATTATGAAATACACATGCAAATATGTATTCGTATCATAAGTCACAATCTACACACATAGCCTTGTGAAGAAATTAAAAAAACGGAAATGATTAACTGCCCCACTAATCAGTTTCACCTTGATAATTATCAATAATTTTTTTCAAGTATGAATGTCGGTCGTTTCTGACGACATAGAATCTGATCAAATTCACTTCAATTTTCATATCACGAAGTTGATCGTTTGTAACTATGCTTATTAAAAGTTACTGTGGGATCACCTCCTCGGGTCTTTAGGGAATTAAATTAGCATATTACGGTCTGACGTAAACGAATTTGTACGTATGAATTTGAAGACTAATTACTAAGCTAGACTATTAAAAAGAACTTTTCTATTTTTATCCTTTACTTTGAATAGAATTTCGTAATCATTTTTATGAAACATGTAAACATGACTCGATCTATTTTATGTTTAATTTATTCAATCACATTTTTCCCCAATCTGGACACCAAGTTCCCAAAAATGCATACACAGCTGGTCTCTCTGGTAAACAGTAGCCTAGACTCTCTATTAACGACGGAGTGGTCAGGACGCATTGTCTAAAATCAGTAAAATTAATCACTCCATCGTGATCCAAATCCATACGCTTCAACATAATGTCAACGAGTTCCTGTGGACAAGAGAAAGTCTACTTAAGCCATTGCGTAAGCTGTGCAGCTTAAGACGTTAAATGTATCGCAACCCCTGAGGGAAACTTTTGCCTTATATTGGACTGTGCACTCATAGAGTTACTGGGCAGCGAGAGTTACTTTATCGTATTTATTTACGTGCAGGAAAATGCAACTGACAAGGCCAATATTCTCGACATCAGAAGCACAAGGTCTCCTCTATTTTTTTGCAATAATAAAGCTTGTATATGGTTTCTTAATAGGTGCGTTATCTTCTTCTTGCAATCTCAATATCTTAAATAATTGATGAAACAATATAAATTATATAATCGAAGACGTTTACATTTACATTAGAATCTATATATTAATACGTGAAGCAAAAACTTTGTACCCCTTTTTACGAAAATTGCGCGGACAGAAGAGTATGAAATTTCCCACACTTATAGAGAATATAGAGAAGGAGTGCAGAATGTTAATATTTTTTTTTAAATTATGCATAAAAAATACATTAGGTCAATTAAAAAAAAACATTTCACACACTACCCTGTCTTTGACAAACACACACACGCATGCATACTATTTGACTAGCTATTGTGAAACTTTTCTTGTGGGTTAGAGTTCGTGGTCAAATTGAGAATAGATTAAATAAAGTTTGTCTTTATTAATATTTTTCTAAAGTGTAGTCTTGGCGAAATCTGTGATCTTTATTTGACAATAGAATCATAATGGTACACAAACTTAGAATTTCAATTAATTATAGTCGAATTTCGACTATTAGTGGGACCACTAGTTAAATAAAATTCGTTATGTCGAGTTTGCAAAAAATTAAATCTAAGAAATATTTTAAACGTAGAACGTTAAAAGTACGTTTTGTCATATGTAGATCAAGTACGTATATATGAAGTCGTCAGACCCATATATTTTATCTGTCTTCCAATTCTAGTTTTGTAACGCTATGAACTCATGACGCGACGCCATTCCAGCGCCCCTAGATTTTCGTCATATTGCGGAGAGGATAACCAACACTTCTACATGCTTGAAGTAATAGGGGTTAAAGTATGAAATTACCGTTTTATTGTAATAGGTACTTCGAATTGACATTAAACCTTCATGGTTTGAGATTATTGAGTGAAACTTTTTTCAAATGGTACCTACATATGAGGTCCTTCTTTTAAAAAATGTGCAACATTTGATTATCGAATTTCAATTGTTTTTTATTTATTTAGCTAAGACAAGAAAGATGGCTACTTCAAAAATTCGAGTGATTTTTGAATACGAGCTCCGACGCGGAACTAATGCTGCAGAAACAGCTTGCAATATCAATGTTGCGCTTGGAGAGGGGACTGCTAATGAACGCACCGTGCGATTTTGGTTTAAATGTTTTCTTAATGGAAATGTTGAGTTAAAGAATGAACCACGTGGAGGACCGCCCACGCATGTGAATAAAAATGAATTGAAAGAGATGGTGGAAGCCGATCCGAAATATCCAGACTACCTAGGAATTAGCGGCATGGTTTAACGTTACCTTACAACCAATATTGACTCATTTGCGTCAAATCAATAAAATAAAAACATGAAAAATGACTACCTCATGATTTGACGGATCTGCAGAAAGAAACGCGTGTTGAAACTTGTGTTGCCTTGTTGAATCGATACATAAATGAAGGAATATTGGATCGAATTGTGACATGTGATGAAAAGTGAATTCTTTACGGTAATCGTAAGCAAATAATGCAATGGCTGACCCCAGGTCAAACGCCGCAACAGTGTCCTAAGGCAAAGCTTACCAATAAAAAGGTAATGGTAACTGTTTGGTGGTCTCAGCATGGTGTTATTCACTTGAGATTTCTCCGATCTGGTCAAGCAATAACGGCAGATGTCTACTGTGCCGAACTCCGAACAATGATAGCAAAACTTGCCGTGAAACAACCCCGACTCATGAATCGATCTTCACCATTATTGCTCCGTGATAATGCAAGACCTCATACAGCACGGGAAACCGTTTTAACTCTACAGGAACTGCAATTAGAAACCATTCATCACCTTCCTCCGTATTCGCCAGACCTTGCTCCAACGGACTACCATTTTTTTCGTGATTTGGACAATTTTCTACATGATAAAAAGTTTTCTTCCCAGGAGGTAGTACAAAATGCATTAACACAGTTTGTAGAATCTAGATCACCAGAGTTCTATCGCAAAGGCATAAATGACCTTCCTATCAGATGGCAGCAATATATAGATAAGAATGTTAGAATATTATGTTTAATAAATATGTTAAATAAAAAAAAACGTATTTACATTTTTCAGTACAAATCGGCAATTTCATACTTTAATCCCTAATAAATGACCGATACGCATAGTAAATATTAAATTCTGTGTCTCAGATGTCCAACTCGTCGTTCTGCAAACACAGACTGGCCAGTACAAGATTTTTCTTCTTCTTGATGCGAAAAAAAAGTATTTATATTCAATACAATCAGTAAATAAATCTTCTTGAAACTCACAGTCTGATTGATCCATTTTTAACGATGAAACGAGATTACATTTTTATCAAATGTAATTGCTAATTACCTACTATAAGGATGATTAACCTTTTTAAAATAACAGGTCACTTGTCCGCGTGAGCTGATAAAACATTAGACAAATTCATAATGAAAATAAATTCAATCTATTACAAACAGGGCGCTTGGTTTTTCATTGGTAAATTTTAATGTTTGTTTATGTTTTAATAGCAGTGCTAATGAAACGATCAGAAAGATGGTGAGAGTAGTTATCGGGCCGAGACTCCAGGAGCGGCCCTCGTTCAGCCGAGTCTGATTAGATCGAACCCACCCGAGAGTGTTTACTTGGAAAAGTAATTGCTACTCAGCTATACAGCACCGACTTTATAAACAACCAAAGTCAATTTTATTTTAACCAGTTAAAAGTATATTAAATAAGGATACGCTCTAATACCAAAGCTAAATACCAATTAAATATAGAAATAATTGTAAAAATAGCAATCATCGTAATATAAATAATTATAAATTATCTATTAAACCAAACACAGATAATCTTAATTAATACATATAACACATAGACCCTATCTTGGTTTGATTAAAAATTTTAAGCTGCACTTTTAGTTACTAATCTATACTCTGTACTAATATATTATAAATCTACAGTGGTTTTTACGGCTGTTCCGTTATAACTACTGAACCATGCATCCGATAGACTTGAAACTTGGTATCCATGTAGAAAATAAATGTGCTTAATGGATAGGCTAATATTTCTATGAGTGTTGGAATCCCTACACCAGTTGCGGGGGCATTAATGATGAGAATCTTTGTGGGGGTGAGAAATAATAATGTTAATTTTAAATGTCCAGCGAAGCGGACAGGTACAGCTAGTAATCTATAAATCTACAGTGGCTTCTACGGATGTTCCGTAGAACTACTGAACCGTGCATCCGATTGACTTGAAACTTGGTATCCATGTAGGAAATACATGTACTTAATGAATAGGCTAATATTTATATGAGTGTTGGACTCCCTAATAATAATGACAATAAGTAATGATGTTAATTTTAAATGCCCAGCGAAGCGGGTGAGTACTGCTAGTAAAGTTATATAACTGAATACTAGTACTTATAAAGTAATTAATAAATATAACTAATTACTAATAAACTTCGTTAATGTTCGTATGTATGTAATGTAACATGAATGTAAACTTGTTCGTCGTGGCCTAAAGGATAAGACCTCCGGTGCATTCGTGTTGAGCGATGCACCGGTGTTCGAATCTCAGGCGGGTACCAATTTATTTAATGAAATACGTACTCAACAAATGTTCACGATTGACTTCCACGGTGAAGGAATAACATTGTGTAATAAAAATCAAACCCGCAAAATTATAATTTGCGTAATTACTGGTGGTAGGACTTCTTGTGAGTCCGCGCGGGTAGGTGCCGCCACCCTGTCTATTTCTGCCGTGAAGCAGTAATACGTTTCGGTTTGAAGGGCGGGGCAGCCGTCGTCACTATACTTGAGACCTTAGACCTCACATCTCAAGGTGGGTGGCGCATTTACGTTGTAGATGTCTATGGGCTCCAGTAACCACTTAACATCAGGTGGGCTGTGAGCTCGTCCACCTACCTAAGCAATAAAAAAAAATGCGACACACTGTGAATACTCGAAAACAATGTTCAAGTTTTCGTTCATGTGGTAGTCCTCAGAAAATCGTAGGCCAACCTGAAATAGTACCTATAGCTAACTATTGGAATTGGAATGGAAAAAAACTAGTGTACAAAGAGCCGAAATTGGTGACGCTTAGTACGCCAGAGAAACGATGGAAGCAACAATTAAATTGTGAATGAACGACGTGGCGGCAAACCGAGACTATGACGTGATACATCACAACGCATACAGCCCAAAAGCCATCAGAAAAAATTGGGACACTCCATTCATAAATCACCCAATTGACATATTAAGTTGACACAACACCCTCAGATTAAATAGCCTTTATTCCAGAAAGTCACTCTTGTTTTACCATTGTTACCGGTTCCTACTTTATTGTTCGGAACACAAAGTATCCAATATGTTAGAAGCATTTTTTCCTCGTACTGTCACTCTGGAGGTAACTCTGTCCCGATAGTGTTTGTTCACTCAGCCCTATGACATGTCCCTCTTCAAAAAATACTCAACAAAGTTACTTAGCGGTAAGGAACGGCCTGATTGTTTGTCTATAGGGTGCGGTAATCACTTGCCATCAGATTAGCTGACTCTTCACCGTTCTTTGACAGTAATTAAAATATATCATTACGGCTCAAGGTTGTAGTTCCGCACGGATTTGGTCGCTATTTACATTTAACAACCAAGGGTGATGATAGCTGATGTGTTTATATACAAGCTAACGATATATGATATATTATAATAAATATCATATCATATTATAGTTATCTATATGAGAACGAAATAATAGTATCGTTTAATAATAAAATGCATAAATATATAATAATCACTAGTTG